GTATGTTCAGTATACATTTTTTTTTTTTTTAAACTCTGGAGCTTCTTTTAATGAACACTTTTTTTTTTTTTTGATACTGGGAATCGAACTCGGGTCCTTGCGCTTGCGAGGTAGGCGGCGGAACCACTGAGCTAAATCCCCAGCCCTTCAGTATACATTTTTAAAGATAGTATCTTGTTCTTGACTTTCCTGGAAGTATAGCTTCAATATCCCATACATTTCTTTTCTAATACTTTTTCTGTTTCTCTGATGCTATATATGAAAATTGTGTAAATAACGTTTTAAACTATGTGTTGAAAATTTTATTCATATTTATTTCCTTGTTACTTAGCTTGATCCAAAGATTATCAGACCATTTATAGTAGAATGCCATCAAACTATTGCCAAACTTGATAATCAGAATATGAAAGCCATTAAAGGGCTTGAAGATCGGCTATATGCCCTGGACCAGATGATTGCCAGCTGTGGCCGGCTGGTGAATGAACAGAAAGAGCTCGCTCAGGTACTTATTTCTGTCTTCTGTCAGGAAAAAAAATTTGTAGTTTGTCTATGTAAGTATTTCATAATTGGATTCTAATGCGTGGTTTTCTAGTTTAACTCTTCCCTGCCAGTAATTTTCCTCTGAATATATTCTTAGAGTAGGCTGCATGAAAAGTGTATCCCCCTATTAGCCTTTTGCCTATAGTTTTCAAAGTAGAAAATATCCTTGATGTAGTCTAGGCTGATGTAAAATATAAATAGAATGTCCTTTAATATTTCTTTTCTTTTTTTGGTACCGGGGATCAAGCTCGGGACCTTGCGCTTGGAAAACAGGCGGTGGAACCACTGAGCTAAATCCCCAGCCTTAATGTTTCTTTTCAGTGATGGGTTTAATTTTGTCATTTGGAAATCTCTTTAAATTTCTCTGATTTCTGGAAGATACTTTTGAATTTTGGGCTGTTAGCTCTTCACTATAGGTACTTTCTTTGCATTTGGTTTCATTTTTTTCTTAGCACTTTGGCTATGAATGTGACAAGATGTAGCTTTTGTGTTGATCCTGCTTGGTTCTGTAATGTTTGTTGAATCTTGGCTTTATGAAAGTTCCTGATTTCTTTTGGCATTTCCTTCACTCCCTTTCCCAGTTCATTCTGTGGTTCCAGTTGCACATTTTAGGTAGACCTTCATCGTTCTTTTTATATACTTAATTTTGACCTATTTAACAGTTGCAGTTAATTCTCTCTTCAGTGATGACTAGATGTAGTTAACTATTTTTTTTTTTGGTACCGGGGATTGAACTTGGGTCCTTGGGCCTGCGCAGCTGGCGGCGAAACCACTGAGCTAAATCCCCGTCCCCTGTTAACTATTAATTTCTTATTTCTGTTGTTTATTTTTCAGCCCTGCAATTTGTTTGCTTTTTTTGTTCATATAGTTTCAAATCTTGTCAAAATATGTAGTCTTATCCATTACCTCTTTAAACACATTAAGCACACAGTAATTTTTAAAGTTTCTGAATTGTTCCACTACCTGTATCTCTGTGTCTGTTGATATTTTCTGTTGTTTTTTACAGTTTTTATTCCTGGAAATACTACTTTTTCATGTTCTTGATTACTTTTAGTAAGGAGAAAACAAAGAAATAGTCTCAGGCCTAAGATAACCTAAGTGTTAGATTTCTCTAACATTTCAAAGAATTTGTGTTTCTTTTGGCAGGTACTGGGGTGATTGAAAGTTGGTTTGGTCCTTGGAGTGACTAGTCAACTTTTGGGTTACCTTTATTTGTAGGATGTAGCTTTTCTTTTTTTTTTTTTTTTTTTGTTAGCGGGGATCGAACTCTGGTCCTTGAGCTTGCGCAGCAGGCGGCAAAACCACTGAGCTAAATCCCTGGCCCAGTAGGATGTAGCTTTAGGAGATACAAATACATAGTGTTCCATTTTCTTTTCCCTTAGCCAGCTCTAGTCTCCAGTTTTTTAATTTCTTAGTTCTATATGGAAGTAGGACTGTTGACTAGTACATACTCTTAATTTAACCACTACCTAAGGAATCAGAGGAAATACCCAAGATGAAGCATTTTTAGTTTCCTTTCTGTTCTGCTTCCCTTGGATCCCAGGCTCTGGATCGTACCTAGTCCTTCTGCTTTCTTAGCTCTCCCATACCCAAAGCCACTAGCTACTCTTTGTGTAGACAGATCTTTGCATTCCTGATCTTTTGATGCTTCTCCAGGGTCATTTGTTTTAGCCTTCCATAGAATGAATCAAATATAATTTACTTAAGCATATTTTCTCCTTTGGTGTGTATATTTTTTGTTTTGTTTCTGTTTGTTTGTTTGAGCCAGGGTCTTGCTATATAGTCCAGGCTGGCTTTGTGGTCACTCTGTAGCCTAGGCTGGCCTTCAACTTGTGATCCTCTTGCTTCAGCCTCCTGAGTGCTGGGATTGCAGGTTTGCACCCCCACTGTTTTTTCTTTATTACAGATAGTACTTGAATATCCCAATACTTCTGTCTTTACATGTATAATCTAGTATTTCTTTTGGTACTGGGGAGCGAACTCAGGACCTTGTGCTTGCGAGGCAGGCATTGTAACCACTGAGCTAAATCCTTGGCCCAATCTAGTATTTCTTTAAGCACAGTCCCTAATGATGGAATTGCTAGACTTAAGATATATGTCCATTTTAAATACTGACTTATAATGTGTAATGATGCCTTTTATAAAGGCAAAATCAAAATCTGTCAACATTCCCCAATAAATAATAATTTCCCCTTTATCAGTGTTTCATAATTATTTCCTCTGAATCGTCATTGGCCACCCTATGCTTTTTCTAAGAATTTATCGTATAATTATATATTTATATGAATTTATCATATATAACCTATTACATCATATATAACCTATTATATATCTTTTTATTTATTTTATCTGTTGTCCTTTATGGTTTTTCTAGCTTGATGAGCAAATATTTCTTGATTCTAGGAATTGTGTTATGAATCTGGTGAATTCAAAAAATTAGATTTAGCATCTTGTTTGAAAGAACAATTTGTGTTTAACAAAGATTTTTTTTTCTTAAGTGAATGTTAGCATTGCTTGTGGAATAAAATTAAATATTTTTTTGAAATACTTTTCCTCAAAGGGATTTTTAGCTAATCAGATGAGAGCTGAAAATTTGAAGGATGCATCTGTATTACCTGATTTGTGCCTGAGTCATGCAAATCAGTTGATGATTATGTTGCAAAATCATAGAAAACTATTGGATATTAAACAGAAGTGTACCACTGCCAAACAAGAACTAGCAAATAATCTACATGTCAGATTGAAGTAAGTGATTCCATTATATCTAATTTAGGATCTTCATAGTTGATGTTTGTTTCTCCCCAGTGATAGAATAATTTTGTCACTACTTTATTCAGCTACAACTTGGGGATTATTTTTATAGAGCATGTGCATCTTGATTTCCCTAGCTTAAATTATTTTTAATACACTTCTCTGACTGTTGAAAACAATGGATTTTATTCTTTAGGTGGTGTTGCTTTGTGATGCTTCATGCTGATCAAGATGGAGAAAAATTGCAAGCTTTGCTCCGCCTCGTAATAGAGCTGTTAGAAAGAGTCAAAATTGTTGAAGCCCTTAGTACTGTTCCTCAGATGTATTGCTTAGCCGTTGTTGAGGTTGTAAGGAGAAAAATGTTCATTAAACACTACAGGGAGGTATGCAGTTTCAACTCTGTTTTAATTATATGTCAACATTACCTAATTGGTGTATGCTATTAACATACATTTTTCTCTTCTAGTGGGCTGGTGCTTTAGTCAAAGATGGAAAGCGATTATATGAAGCAGAAAAGTCTAAAAGGGAATCCTTTGGGAAAGTATTTAGTAAGTATTCTTCATTTACTTTTTTTTAAAAAAAGAAAAAGGAAGTTTTTATTTCATAGATATAAATTATAGCATTTGTGATCATTTACTTGATATTAATTATATTGAAATCTAGAAAAAGATTTTTTTTTTTTCTTTTGGTACCGGGGATTGAACTCGGGTCCTTGCGCTTGCAAGGCAGGCGGCGGAACCACTGAGCTAAATCCCTGGCCATAGAAAAAGATTTTTAAAGCGTATAAAGTTTATTCTGTTGTTACATTTTAAATGTCATGCATTGTCAAACTTTAATTTACTTTTTCAAAAACCAGAGATGGTTTTTTGCCTCAGTAAAAGATATAAAATAACTATATTGTTAATTTCTTTATATAGGAAAGTCCTTTTTAAGAAATCGTCTGTTTAGGGGACTGGACTCCTGGCCACCTTCCTTTTGTGTATGTATTTATTTCCTGTCGTGACTAAGCTTGTATGTTCTAGCTGCCCGTCCCCCCCCAGTAGTGGCATTTGATAGGAAGAAGAAATTGTGATTTTATTAAATCAGCAAAAAAATATTTTTTGGCTTTAAAAGTCAGTCGATATAAAGCTTTTTGCTTTTTTTTTTTTTTTAGACAGGGTCTTGGTTCAGGTCAACATGCCCAGTGGTATAAAGCTTTTGATCAGAACTCTGACACACATGAAGATATCCCTTATTGCACGGTTAGGATTAGTAGGAAGTTGTGTCCAACCCCCCACCCCTTTGTTTAGTTTTGATTTTTGAGATGGAGCCTTTCTATGTAGTTCAGACTGGCCTCGAACTCATGGCCATCCTCCTGTCTCAGCCTCCCAAGTGCTGGGATTATAGGCATCACCCATACCCAACCTTCTACCTCTTTCTAGAGTATTTTTTTTTCCTTTTCTCCCACCTTTTCTTTTCCCATTGTTCCTTCCTCTGTTTTCCTACTGCTTTCTTTCTTTTTTTTTCTACTGCTTTCTGCTTTTGCTCCATTGACACTCCCACCCTGCAATGTCTTGACATTAAAATAGGAGGATGTCTTAGTTATTTTACTCCAAATGGGACACAATACCCAACACTAACGAATTAAAGAAGGAAAAGTTTGTTTTGGCTCACAGTTTGTAGAGCTTTTAGTCCATGGTCACTGGCTCCATGGCAGGACAGCTTGTCAGAGAAGAGCTGTGCAAGAGGGCGTGGTGGGCAGGAAGGAGAGGGGTTAAGGGAAGAGGAAGGGAGATGTGTCTTTCCAGGCGAACCCCCAGAGGCCCGCCTCCTCCTACCCGGCCTCACCTCCCAGCATCACATTAAGCTATGAACTCGTCGGTGGACTAATCCAGTGAGGCGTGTCATGCCCCCATAATCCAGTCAGCTCCCAGAAACCCCACCTTATAAGTGTGTGAAGCTTTGGAGGACATCTAGATATGAACCATGGTGGGACTCATTAAACCATGAAAAATCATTTTGGGGTATTTCTAAATAGTGTTATCTGGGTTCATTTATTTTTGTTAAATGTGAAGGAATATATGAATGATCAAAAATATTTAGGAGATGATAGTGTTCTCTCAGTACCCCTACTCTCATGTCAATTCCTTGACTTTAAACATATTTCTATATTGCAGGATTTCTTAGGGTTTTAAATAAATGTAGTTTTAATACCTACAAATGGGTAATATAGCAGGGGATCCCCACACTCATTTATCCCAGAACCCTTGTTTATGAAGCGCATTTTCACATTGCTCTCTCTGCTTGAGTAGTGATTAAAAGTTATTTTAAAATGTGCCATAATTGGTGATACCATAAAGAGAGAATGATATTGCTTCCACTTTTTTGTTCAAATTGAAATTGATCAAGAGTTTGTATTTTAGAAAATGTAGAGAAAATGTAAAGGGAAGAGTAAGGCAGGAAATTACATGAACAAAAAAATCTTACCATGTTTCAGCAATAAGGCTTGGTAATAGGAAGAGAAAGATGGCTAGAGAATTCTTTCATGAGCATGGTGTATGTCAAGGAAAAATTTGTGAATAGTATATGCAGCAGTACAACAGATGTTGTTACTTAGTATTGATGAGAATACTAGAATTCCCATAAAATGATGCTAAAAACATAAAGGGAGTAACAAGTAGCTGATCATGAACAGCTCATATCTCAGTCTTTTACCACTTATATGTATTTTGAATGCATTCATACATTAAATGGTTCTCCATATGTTCTTTTTTTTTTGTACTGGGGATCGAACTCAGGTCTTTGCACTTGCAAGACAGGCAGCGTAACCACTGAGCTAAATCCCTGGCATATCTCAGTCTTTTAAAGGCTCAGAAAAATAATGTACCGCATATGCTTTGAATGTTGTTTTTTCATAGTTTTATTCTCTCTCTTGTGTTTAGATCATTTGAACAATCTTGCCAATTTTTGTTGAATTTAATTATAGTAAGAAACCATATATAAATTAATCCTATAGGTTTTTTGGTTAAAAAAAGTTGTTTTTTGGTATAGACTCAGAAGCCTCGAAAGTTTGACTGTGAACTTCCAGATATTTCATTAAAAGATTTACAGTTTCTGCAATCATTTTGTCCTTCTGAAGTTCAGCCATTCCTCAGGTAAATGTCAATAGTTTTTAACTTGAGTTATAACCTTAAAATATTTTAATTTTTTTGGTGGTATGGAAAGGCACATCAATACTCCTAGGAGATGCCAAGATAAAGAATTGTTTTATGATAGACTGGTTTTTTAAAAATGTGTTTTGCTTTGTTTTATTTTGTTTTTAGAGGCATGGTCTCATTACGTAGTCCAGGCTGGCCTTAAATTTACTATGTAGCTCAAGTTGGCCTCAAACTCATGGTGATCCTCCTGCCTCAGCCTCCCAAATGCTGAGATTACTGGTGTGTACCACCACACTCAGCCTCATTTGGAATTCTTAGTATGTTGTAGTCATTCTGATTTGATGTATTATTGGGAGATTTTTAACTTAAAACTTTCCTAATTCTGATTCAAGTTTCTTCAGAATTTCCTACCATTGATTAGAAAAGTGACCATGCTTATTTATTTTTAACGGTGAAATAATTTATTTACATTTATCTCTCTTTTGGTTAAGAAACCAGACATCTAATTTACTTGCATTGTGTTTCAGGGTTCCCTTACTTTGTGACTTTGAACCTCTACACCAGCATGTACTTGCCCTGCATAATTTGGTAAAAGCAGCTCAAAGTTTGGATGAAATGTCGCAGACCATTACAGATCTCCTGAATGAACAAAAGGTAAGTGAAATTCTTTCATTAGGGTAGCAGCTTTGTTGCCGCAGTTCTTTAAGCCTTTCTCTCTGTCTTCTAGGCATCCATGAGTCAAGCATCCCCTCAGTTGGCTTCTTCCCCACGGACAGAAAATGCAGCAGGAATTATAACTACTACCTCACCAAGAACTCCCCCTCCACTCATTGTTCAGGGTCCCTTGTGTCCTGCAGTTTGTCCCTTAGAAGAATTATCTCCAGATAGCATTGATGCACATACATTTGATTTTGAAACTATACCCCATCCAAACA